TGGCTGTATTTGGAGATAGGGCCTTTAAAGAGGTAATTACGGTAAAATGAATTCATATAGGTAGACCCTAATCCGGTATGACCAGTGTCCTCATCAGAGGAGGACATTAAAGACACAGACCTAGGGATGACCATGGGAGGACACAGTGAGAAAGTGCCATCTGCAAGCCAAGGAGAGGCCGCCAAAGAAGCCAACCCTGCGACACCTAGATCTTGACTTCCAGCCTCCAGAGCTGGGAGGAAATACATTTCTGTGGTTTAAGCCACCAGGTCTGTGGTATTTTGTGATGGCAGCTTTAGAAGACTAATACCGTGTTTCCCCGAAAATAAGACATCCTCTGAAAATAAGTCCTAGTGCAACTTTGGGAGAAAAAATTAATATAAGACACTGTCTTATTTTCGGAGAAACAGGGTACAAGGCCTACATTTCATTTTTAGGCTTGCCCACAAGGTTAGGGGAAGGTGTGGATGCCTGCCAAGAAGGGTCCTGCATTGATATGCTTCCTGGAGATCGGGGCACCTGGCCAGTTTAGCACAAAGAGCCTCCTGGATTTTCCTCCTGCACATCTGTGACCAAGGATCAAACCCACAACCTTGGTATGTGCACTCAACTGGAATTGAACCTGTGACCTTTTAGTGCATGGGATGATGCTCAACCAACTGAGCCAAACCAGCCAGGTCCCTTCCTGACATCTAAGTCCAGTCACTGCAGCTCAAACTGCTTTCAGACCCTTGGGAGGGACTCACATCTATGGGACAGATCTACTGAGGTGATTCATTTTTAAAAGAGGCTTATTGAAGGGATTGTATCTGCTAAATGCTTTTATCCATTTTTGTCGTGGCTTGATGATACCTGTTAAATGATCCAAATTGTGCCTTCTACCTGCCCTTTGAAAAGATGCAGTAACGTGAATTTAAATGCGTAGTGGGTAAAGGTGTTTTATTTTCCAAGAGAGGAATTATGTAATCTGGAATTGGTAACACTCCAAGGTGCCGCCAGTGATTCCTTCCCTCCCCCTCCCCCCATCTAAAATTCTTCTCAATCTCTCAGTTTCGGCTAACTTTTATCAACATGGACTGGTATTCCTACTTGGTCAGCAGCAGTTTGTGACCCAGGAGTCTGTTATTAAATATTGACACTACAAAGGCTTTCCTGGTTGGTTATCTCCATTTGCTCACCTGTAAGTAAGGAGCTTCAAGGGTGATCTCTAAGATAGCTTCCAGCTGCCGAGATTGTGATTCTCTGTTTGGTAAGATGGGAGAATGTGTGATCTCTCTATGCTCCCCAAGCAGCAAGCCCTCGTTCTAACCCAAAAACTATTCATTGCATTCATTCACTTAATAAATGCCGGTGACTGAGGGATTGATTTAATGACCCATTAAACTCCGTTGCTAACTACACATAGGTCAAATGTTATACTGCCTCCACCAGGTTTTTCCAGTTATCTTCACATTTAAATTGGAAGAGTAAATATGACCTCTATTTCTTTGTGTGTGTGTGTGTGTGTGTGTGTGTGTGTGTATGTATGCTTCTTTAGTTAAAAGTTTTTGGTTTTTTATTGTTGTTGACTTTAGGGAGAGAGAGGGAAAGAAAAACACTGATTTGTTGTTCCACTTATTTATGCATTCATTGGTTTATTCTTGTATGTGCCCTGACCAGGGATAGAACCCACAACCTTGGCATATCAAAATGATGCTGTAACCAACTGAGCTACCCAGCCATGGCTTCTTTGTCTATATTGATAGTTATTATGTTTGCCTCTTATTTGTGAGCCAAGTTCAAGGCACTTGGCCATGGCTCTGTTTTCCCAGGGGTGAGCAAGAGGGGGATAAATTTTGTGACTTCCAACTCCGGCACCCTATGAATGTGCCTTTGATTCTGTGTCAGTTTTGCCAGAAGGATCTCCAGGGGCTGGCAACACTGGAAAAGTTTTCTTGCCCATTTTAATTTAACTTTTTTTAGAGTACATTTCTATAAAAAAAAAAAAAAAAAAAAACACAGTAAGGCTTTATTGTCAGAGCTATGTCTTAAAGCTATTTCCAATCTTGTTTCTTATTCCTCACTTGACAAGTGCTGTCACAGGGCTCCATCACTCCTAGGCTAACAGCTACCAATAAACAGAAAATTATTTCCAACCAGCTAACATGCTGTTTACTTTCCAGAAAAATTGCACTATCCAATCTGACAGCTGATCAAGGGGTACCCTGCTGCTGTCAGCAGGGAGAAATGTTTAAACACACAGATAGGAGTTTAAACATTTTCTCATTATCACAGAATAAGGGGGAAAAACACAAATAAATAAATAAGTAAAAATGGCACCCAGACTCTCCAACCCCCTGCTGGGAGAGTAATGAAGCTGTGTCACGTGACCAGAAGAAGCGGGCTTTTATCTCCAGCCCCAGTATCGGTCCTCTACTGACACCTGTCACATGACCCAACTTCAGTCTTTTATCTGCCTTCCTTAGCCACACTTTTGGGGAATTGTCTTTTTGAAAGATGTGTGGTCTGTTGTGGTCATTGTAGTGGGCTCTGTAGTTAGTGCTATTAGCTTGGTGTTTTGTGTAGTCTGGCTCAAATCCTCTAGATCTTTCCTCAAACATTATTTAAACATAACAAGTGAAAAAACACCTATAAACTAAAAGACAAAAAAAAAAAAATTCAGAGAAGACATACACACGCAAAACCAACAACAATGCTGTTGTTATGTTTCATACAAGCTTGCAGGAATTAAAATTAGTCTAGAGAGAAAAATATCTATATTTCAAAGGACTATCTTTCATTTTTGAATGTTTAGTAGAGCAAGAGATTAATAAAACCCAAGTACACTTTGTTATAAAAGTGCCTGCAAGAGCGAGGTGAGGCTCACTGTGCTGATCCTTTGTCTTATTATTTTTTTACTCCTCCTTAGAGGATATGCTTGTTGATTTTTAGAGAGAGAAGAAGAGAAACATCAGTGTGAAAGAGAAATATTGATCAGTTGCCTTCCACATGTGCCCTGACCAGGACCTGAAACCTAGGTATGTTCCCTGAGCCGGAACCGAACCTGCCACCTTTTGGTGTACAGGGTAACACTCTAACCAATTGAGCCACATTAGCCAGGGCTAACTCCTTTAATCTTTAACTTGGTTTTTTATTGTCCCCCTAGCTAGCAGTTTAGGAGTGGAGTGTGCCAGTCTGAACAGAAGGAGGTGAAGAGAAGGGGGCTTTGAAAAAGAAGCACATGGAAAGAGATAACTCTTCTTCAAATGGACACTGTCATACCTGCGTATGATGTCTGCAACTGTGACAGCATCTTGTGACCATGACAACGACCGTCCTGAGAATTAAGGCCAAAGGATGCTGACGAGGAAGAGGGGAAAAAAAAAAGACAGAAAGAACTTGTATTGTCAATGATGCTGACCCTCAAATTGTTCCATCCTGGAACCAACTGGACTTCTTGTGTGGAATAATATCCCCATGCATGAAGCCATTGAATTCGGGTCTTCAGTTCCTCACAGCTCAATATATCCCGTGCCTTCTGTATTTCTCTCGATTTCTTCTCATCCCCTTGGCTGCCTGCCTGGAAAACTCTCAGTTCAAGATAAGACTTAACTGTCATCTCTTCTGTGATAGGCCACACTGACATGTTGTCATTGGTCTTGTATTTATTTCCATCTGGAGGAACTATTGATTTTTGTATTTCTAGTGCTTAGATGTGTTTTGAATGAATTAATCAATAGATGGGTTGATTTACTTTATATTTTGGTTCAATTTTGGGCTAAAATCCACAAGATTTTATTGTAGTATCCAATGTTAGCTCTTAAGATAGAAACACAATTTTATGAGCATGTTAATAAACTTGAATGAATTCATTACTGAACACCTCAGATCTTACACCAGGAGATGTTAACCTACTTAGGGAGAGAGAAGTGTGAGGAGTAGAGAATGTGAACAGCTTCAGACAGAAAGGACTAAAATAAAACTACTCTGGGAATTCATTTACGAAAGGTCTCAAAGGTAACAAAAAGGTGTTAATCCTCTGTGTCTATGTATCCTTCAGGAAAAGACTTCGGTTCTAAGAAGTGGAACCCTCTGAGTGATGTATTTTCTTCCAGAAGGTAACCAGAGATTTCATTAAAAAAAAAAAAAAAAAAAAGTGAAACTTTTGGTGAATAACACCAAGGTGATATTAGAGGTACACTGAAAATATCAAGACATGTTAGAAGATATCATTACCAACTCATAAAAATCTCAAGCTCTGGTCAGCACTGTTCAACAGCACGTTCTTCAACGACGAGAACGTGAATCTGCATCGGGCATTAAGGTAGCCTGTAGCCACATGTGGTTATTGAGCCCTTGAGATGTGGTTAGTGGGACTGAGGAACTGAATGTTGAACTTAATTAAATGTAAATATGAATTTACATGTAGCTGGTAGCTATCATGTTGGACAGTGCAGGTTTATGTTTTTACTTGCCCTGGTGCTGCTAGTCACGATAGGCTAGATTATATTGCAGTAACAACCCCCAAAATATTAGTGGCTTAAAGCAATAAAGCTTTATTCCTCTTTCCCTGCCACATATCCATCATATGTCATCAGGGGACTCTTCCACGTCTCTCCATTCTGGGGCCACCTGGTCATTGTAACAGGGGGAAAGAAGAATGGTCTAGAGGGTCTTGCACTGGCAATCAAATGAATGCTGGGCTTGGAAGTGACACATATCACCTCCATTTTCAATTCACTGGCCAGCACTAAGATAGCCCTACCCACCCACAGAGGGCCCGGAAGTGCCATCCAGTTATGGAGCTTTGCAGACAAATATTAGGTGAGTAGCACTCATGAGTGAATAAGGAAGCATCACTAAGATCACTCCCACTTCACATTGAACAAAATTAAATTACGTTTTAAAAAGTCAGGTGCATGTCGTACAAAAGAATCAATAAAAACGTGGGAGGAAGAACATATGCACAAACACGTGGCGTGCTCCTTTCACAAAATCAAGGAGGAAAGAGTGGAATGGCATTTTGGTGTTTTATTTATAAATTTTATTAAGCTTTTAAAGAAGTGAATTTATGAATTAAAGAAGGAAGCATAAGCATAATTTATCTTCCATTATAATTAAAAGAGGATAATTTTGACGATTTCTATTTTTTAAATCCCTTTTTAACAATAAAACAAATCTACTCATTCTTACAACAATAGGATCTCACTATAATTCTAAGTAGAGTCTGTCAACAGCTGTTCAGAAGCCATTGTTAGACAATGTTGGAATTAGAGGGGGCCTTAAAGATCAGCTAACCTAATCTCCAATATGAGGATCCCTCCTTCAGCTTTCCATATCTCCTGGATGCAGTGGAAGCCCACCGGAGTGTGGCCCTCATTCCACTGGTGGCAGGTGAAAATGTTGGAGAACTCTTCCTGCTGTGTAAACAGCAGTATCTCTGAGCTTTCTATGTATTTGTCCTGGCTCCGTAGCCACTCAGCAGAGGGCCAACCACTTTGCTCTGTGAGAACCCTCAACCCTCTGGATGGACATTCTTTGTCCCCTGGGTCTTCTCTCTGGAGCTATTCTTCCTTGTGCCTTGGTCCCCATGCCCTCTATTCTCCTATCATAGTAGCCCTTCTTGAAGCACATGGCAGAGTTGGGGTTAGGGGTGAAAAAAGCACAGACTTCGGGGACAGAGTATCAAATCTTAGTTATTTAAATTTGATTCTGTGTTCTTCTCTGTGAAGTGGAGAATAGCTACAGTCACCCCTTAGTCTATGAAGATCAAACAGAATTGGATCTATAAACTAATAAATGCGCAAGAAATATATACTTCTATGTAGTGTTTCTTTCAAAGTGTGATGGATAGAGTTAAACTTCATCATTTTGATGTGATCTCATCAGAGGACTAAACTCCATCCCATCTCCATGTGACACCATCATATTCCTTTATTTATATCACTTAAGAGTATAGCATTATCTTTTGTGGACAGTCAGACATACTATTAATTCATATTGTACCAATTTCCACTAAGTCACAGCCTTACTTAACTTGTTGACATTTTCAGCCTTAAGTGTAAGAAGTTCAATCATATGAAATTTGATTGGAATAAATGTTGTATTGACTTATTGCAAATTAGTTGTTTACATGTTGTTTGTTTTTAAGACTTTATTTTTTTTTTAGAGCAACGTTAGGCTCAGAGAAGTATTCAGCAGAAGTTACAGAGAATTCCCATACACACCAGCCCACACCAGGCATGGCATTTCCCATTATTAATATCCCCAACAGAGTGGTACATTCGTTATAGCTGATGGACCTACATTGACACATCATTACCGATCAAAGTCTACTGGTATAGTTTGCCTTAGGATTCACTCTTGGGGCTGTACATTCTATGGATTTGGACAAATTTATAGTGACATGCCTCTGCCAGTACAGTATCATACATAGTTTCACTGCCCTAAGAACCCTCTGTGCTCTGTCTTTTCATCATCTCCTCCCTCCTAACCCCTGACAACGATTGATCCTCTCACTGTCTCCATAGTTTTGTACCTTAACTCTGGTGTACTTGGAGGAGTTAACTTCTCTGAACTTCAGTTTACTTCAGTGCATTGTTTGACTAAATTGTGTGCCTTCTCTGGTTTTTACTCAAGTGATTAGTAAAAATATTTGTCAGGAATGGGACTCAAGACTGAACCTTGTAACACACCACTATATGCCTTTCTCTAGGTTGAATAACCACTGTTTTTTTAATTCACATATCTGCCCCATCACCCAGCCCACACAGTTTTGTATTTCAGGTATATCTGGACAGGCTTGGTCACATGCCTTACCAAAACCAAGTACTCACTAAGGTAGATTTCATTGGACTGTTTGTATCCCATTTCCCTTCTTCCATCTCAGATTTTGGATGGATAGGTACTATTTTTTAATTCTCTTTTAATTAGTTCCTCCTTGTTCTTCTGAAGGATCCATGAAGGTCTCTGGTTTCTAGGCTACCACATTTCCTGAGTAGATGATCCTTTGACAAAGTAATTTGAGTTGTCCTGGCTTCTTTTGGAAGGAGTCATTGTAGAAGATGATACATGTGTTAGCCGAAACAAATCTCCCATTTCATTTCAGGCTCACGTGTGTGCACATATGCATGCATGTCTGGTGGTGCAACAGCACTTGAATTACGTCTTTGGAACTCTTTGCTCCTGTCTACCCAGTATCTCTACCATCAAATCAGGGCTTAGGTTCCTCATCACTTTTGCAATCATCACAGACAATTAGGATTCAATAGAAGGAGATAAACTGAAATTTAATTCTAAGCAGCAGCTCCATCCAAATTCCTAAAATCTGGCTGGGTGGGGCGGTAATGTGTTTTGTTAGTGCAGGAAGGGAGGGAAGGAATGCCCTAGGAAATCATAACAAAGAGTCTTAAGCAAGTCCTTTGGTTGACAACTTTATCCAAGAAACCATCTTCTCTGGAGGCTGTTTTAAACTTTAGACGGCTCCTCTCCATGCCACAGAAGTCCTTTTGTTGGGAGGAATTGTCAGTGAACACAGGAGTGACAGGTTTCCTTAAGCACAAGCCAGACTCCGAATTCTTTCCATTGTCAGTCTCCCGTCTGTCCAGTTGTCCTTCCTGCCCCGGGATCTCTCTATCAGATAACGAAAGGGATAGAATGATTCACAAGTCCTCTTCTCAGACTGTTTCAGTATGTCTAATGTTTGAGCCAAACACTGTGAAATTCTACACAAATGACAATAGCAGTAGCCACCCACTGCTTTTTCTTCAAGTATGATGTACCGTGGACGTAATACATTTAAAATATTTCAGGTCACAGGTGATATTTAACATCCCGGTCCAGTGTGGAGTTAAATTAGAAACTTCTCAGGAAGCTGAAGCAAATTAAAACAGAAACAGCAGTAATGTAGCCCTGGAAGTAAATGAAGAATAAACAAAGTAAAAATAATAATGACATCGGACAGATTGAGTAAGAAAAACCTGTTAAAGATTATTGCAAAGTTATCGATAGGATTACATCTATTGATAGTAAAGGTGATAATAAATTGTAACAGAGGCAGCAGTTTACCCTGGGAAATAAAGAACTAGGTAAATTTTTAAAATAATCAAAATCTATCTTTGGATCTACAGACTACAGTTGCGCCACTTTACACTCCACTGTTCAAAACACACCAAGCTTTGAACTAAGATGTGTAAAGTGCCTGGCACGTGGTATAGGCCCAGCAAACTCAGTGCCCTCTATGTCTCCACTGCAGACACCATATGCATTTTGACCTGAAACTGACATTTTGAGGGTCTTTTAAGGGCCTTACTATTGATTCACTGCTGGCAGTTATAAGTCTTAATACCCCAATTTACATGTTGAATCTCTTGAAAAGTGAATATTTTAACATAAATTCAATTTAGTGGAAAAGACTTTCAGGCCCCAAGTGTCCGCTGATTACCACTTCAGTCTCTTTAACTTCCAGATTTTGCTGATACCAAGCCATTTATTAAGCAGCTTAATTGCTTTAGCTTTTCCCTTCTGTGGTTCTTCTCCGATGGGTTTTTATCTCCTTGCATTAGGAGCAGGGGCCCAGGAACATGGTGAGATCACTCCCACAGAGGCCCCGCTCTCCTGCAATTGTTGGCGTAGGCATCAGGTTTGCCACCCTGCATTTAACCGATTTTCCACTGCGACCAATTCACATCTACAGGTAACAGTTCTTCCTGAAAAGCCACAATTGGTCAGAGAGGCAGTTTCTAAATAAAACCAAATAACAACAATACAAGTGATAAAAATGCTTACTGTGGCACCCCCATCTGAAACCATCTCCATCCCTGCTGTTGATAATTCTATGAAGCACAAATCCCTCGCTGTATAGAATGTAGCTAAAGTAATTCTAGCATCATAACTAGTGGGTCTTAAATGGCGTAATTACACAGTATAATCTCTGCTCTATGAAACATTGTGCTGGGGAAATGTCACATTATTGTATTGCCTGTTGTAATTCCAATTATATACTGTCAAGATACAAACTTAGGTATTTCATAAAATGCTCTGAGGAATAGCTATAATTCTAAGCATCCCTGATCTTCCCAAATTTCTAAGATTCCTATAAGATCCAGAGGGGAGACTCCTAGGTGCGTACATCATATCTTTAAATCTCAACAGCCAAAGAGAGAGCTGAGACAAAGTGACCAAGAGCTGAATCCTGCTGTGTGAACAAAGTTGGGGTGTGGGGGAGTATGCCAGTGGTGACCATTCAAAGTTCTGTTTGGAAACATAGCCAAGAGTGGTTGCCAAATGGGTGGCCAATCACAGTCTAAGGTTTGTGGCTTGAGATATAGCCAGAGTCAGGTGACTCTAAAGGATGGCTGGCTGGCTCTATGCATGGGTGGGTCCCGCCTTGAGCCCTCTGTTTAGATTACTTTTCCATCTGCCCTCCATGGAAGACCTGGTGCAAAAACTGCTCCTGTAGCATCTAGGGATGCCTGTACTATGGTAGCTTTGGGGGTTGTCTCCCTGCACCTACAGCAGCACTACCTTTAAGGGAATCCTTTACAGGAAGAGAAACAGCATCTCTTCCTCTTCAAGATTACTGTGGAAGGCAGGGCTACCACAGTAGAGGGGTCTCTTAAGAGCAGCGGTGTCTGGGACATCTGTGGATGGCTCCTGCCGGTCCATCAGGTCCTTTTGAGCTCACCCTGAATAAAAGGACTCCCTGCAACAACCGAGCAGAAGGTGTAGTCTAAGAAGCCTGTGGTACGGATGACTTGGTTCTCATAGGCCTCTAAACCCTGTCCTGGTCAGGGCCAGGCTCTGCACCAGGTCTTCTCTGGCATTTGGAGGCAGGTTAGGTGGTCACTTGCACTGCCACAGCGACCAACATCCTTCCTGGCTCCCCTGGAACTGGGCCAGTGTTAGCACCGGATGTCCCACAGTCCCAAGAAACCCCTCAGGCTGAAGCGAATAGGGATGGTTGGTCACCCTGACCTTTGGTTGTGTCCTATTGGCCGACAGAGGAAACGCTGTAGTTAAGGGAATGCAGGTTGACAGCTGTAACCCTTTATTCCACACGTGTCAGCTGAAGGCCTCCCCGTGACCTTTCGGCTTTGTCTTGGGGGCCTTGCTGCTCCTCCGGGAGTGGGAGAGACAGGTGGTGCCCCACATCGCCCTCTTTCACAGCTGGAGGAGGTGGGGCCGCCAGTCCCTAGAGTGGGAATGAAGCACCAGGCACAGACAGAGGTGCGCAGGGGCCGGGAGCCAGGGCCACCCCTCCGGGCGGTGATCGCTTCTCAGTGCTGCCCACCGGGAACCTCTCTGCTGGGACCACTCACCTGGAGGACCTGGGCGCTGCCGCCTTTCCTTTCACCAGCATTTGCTGAAGTGGGCCGTGCGGGGGCCTTTCCGGTAGGAAGCCAGAAGGTCATACATTTCCGGCTTCAGCCTCACTCCTGAAACTGTAAACAAAGACTCCTCTGTGTGGGGGGGAAAAAAGGAGAAAAGCACCAACGTGTTATTTCCTGGGATTTCACGGTGCACTTTTTATGTCTTTGTTATATTTGTCACCTGAAGAGAATGTCAAAACGTGAGCCAGACTTACCCATCAATAAATCACCCTGACTCATGGATAACTGACTTCCTGGATTCTAACACCTGTCAAGCAGCTCCTGCTCAATCCACTTCAGTGCGTGTTTACCAAATGAACACTCGGGTAAGGCCTGGTGTGGAAGGTGGTAAATGTAGGAATAGAACAGGGAGACACACACACACACTAACAAACAAGGGCCAAAAGTGAGGTGCAAACAAAGAGCCAGGACAGCTCCCCCTTTCCCCCCAGTCTACCAAGGAGCCTGGGAACGCACGGGCAAGGCCCTTGGAGCCGTGAAGGATGACGCTGTCAATAGCCAAGAGCTTCTAGGGAGGGATCAGCCGAGGAAAGGCATGAAGGAAGGAAAGCGTTGGAGAGAACTGTCTGTAATTGTGCATGGTTAGAGCAAGGCGAACTGGAAGATGGAAAAATAGAACCAGGAGGTGAAGGAAGTTAGCTATCAAGCCCAGGAGTCTGAACATTTGCCCCAGTGACGACGATAGGCAACGGGCACCATGCTAGGCTAGGTATGTTTTGGAAAGTTTCAGACCCTGTTATATAGATACCGTAGGCAATCTAGTTAAATAGACTCCAAATGCAGCTTTTGTAAATTAAAACTGCCTTTGAAAAACATATATTACATTTGTCATCTGACTCATGTATCTGGGTAGGCAGAGTGCAGGCAGTCAGTGTGGATATAATACCTGTGTCTGCTAAGTGTGTTGTGCCTGGTGCTTCCCATGCTGATGTCATGGGCCGAGACCTCCTGAGGGTAACATGGTAAGGGGCTCATCTGCAAAATGGGGATAATACAATGTCCTGGCAGATTGTTCTACGTCTGATACACTATGTACTATTAACAATGATAGCCGTTGTCACAAGCATCAGCATAGATTGCAAGAGGCAGCAGCCACACTGTCACAAAGCACACCCCCAACACCTCCTCAGGACATCTTTCCCCACGGGCATGGCTTTGCCAGGCTCACCACCGGCACAAACCTGTATGGCTGTAAGTGTCGCCCAGTTTACAGAAAGAGAAGCTTCCAGATCTGACGTGCCGAGAGCCTAAAACACCCGAATAATATTGTTTGCTGAGAACTGCTCACACCTGAAGGGAGGAACTAAACCTGCAGAGTGGGCTCTGCCTGGCTCGACCTACACTTAGGCCAGTGGTCAGCAAACTCTATTAGTCCACAGAGCCAAATATTAACAGTACAACGATTGAAATTTTTTTTGAGAGCCAAATTTTTTAAACTTAAACTTCTTCTAATGCCACTTCTTCAAAATAGACTCATCCAGGCTGCAGTATTTTGTGGAAGAGCCACACTCAAGGGGCCAAAGAGCCGCATGTGGCTCGCGAGCTGCAGTTTGCAGACCACAGACTTAGGCTGTGAGTGATCTGTGGCCTGATCCCTTAGGCTTGGAGTCATATATTTTCCAGGGTTGAAAGGGGAGACATCAAGTTTGGTTGATAGGCCTGATACATTTTCAGAGGTACATTTTAATATGCAATTTCATATTCAACTTCCCTTTTAGCTCATGCCATAGCATAAACAGTCACGCAGCTAAAATAAACAGCGCAGAAACTATGGATGACTCTCCAATCAACTCAAGTCCAAACATCTTGGGAACTTCCCTGGGGGGGAGTGTTCCCTGGCCTTGGGGAGAGTGACATGAAGGTCCCCATCAAGAGCAGCAGCTCCTCAAAAGCAAGGAGAGAGGGAAGAGGGAGAGGGGGGAGAGAAAGGGAGTGAGGGGGAAAATAGGAGAGAGAGAGAGAGAGAGAGAGAGAGAGAGAGAGAGAGAGAGAGAGAGAGAGAGAGAGATCTGACAGAACAGTCCTGGGAAAGCAATCAGTTAATCAAAAGGATTCCAATTTGGCCACGGACTGCCCCACTCTCCTTCCCAATTCATGGGGGGGTGGGGGGAGGAATGAAAAAAAAAATAAAAGAGAAAAAGAAAGAAGGAAAGTAGCATCTGAGCAGCTATCCTGCAGCAATCTCACAAACGCAAAGCCTTCCACTGGCTGACTCCTCATTAGCTTACCGAATCTGACAGCATAATTATCGCAGCCGCTCGCACTTAGAATAAATAAATACGAAAGTGGGTGTTTAAATACTTTTTGAGAAGAATTTGCAGTCATCTAGACAGTCAGTAGGACAAGTTTATTTAAAACTTTTAGAGTTTGCTGCATTCAGATCATTTCGGAACGGGATAATGAGATAGTTGTCTTTCAGTCTAATTGAGTTCCTAAGCTCCTGTCACCCCTTTCCAACTGTGCTTTAACTTTCCTTCCTTTAGAAATCTGATCCTGCTGTCTCCATTTACTCTTCCTGGCTCAGAACAGGGAAGGCGCAGGGCACTGGAGTGCAGAAAGCGACTTAATGGGATTGAGGAGCTAAATAACCTTTCAAGGAAACCGGGTAATCAAATCTCTTCTACTTGTCTGTAATGGCTAAGAGAGAGAGAGCACAAGTCAAAACGAAAGCTTGGAAATAAGATCATCGTTTCTAAATGTCCTGTGATTTCTCGTGTCATGTGGTTTTTGCACTACTCTCACCCATCATCAGTCCATCAGCCAAGTTGCTTAGTGCACTGAATTATTCCAAGTGCACACAGCCGTGTGAGCAGCGGTCATTTTAGCTCATGTGTATGCATATGGCCTCACATCGGTAAAGCCCAAAGGATCATAAGGGACTTTAATGGAAGCTGCTAACTAGCAAGGAGTGCACTTAGACCTCTGAGTAGGGGCACAGCACCTACGCATTTCCGATGAAAGCAGATGATCTTACCTTACATAACTAATTAGTGCCCACTTATCTTTTCCTCTCCCCCCACCTCTCATTCTCCCAGGAGCAAATTTATATGGACCCTTACATTCAGTGAGTTAAAAGCTTTATAAAATAAACATTCTGCCAATCCGGGATAAAAGAAACGAGTATTAATTGTGCAGAAAATTGTACAGAGAAATTGAGGTTTATGAAGGTCAATAATGCATCTTACATTGGGAGGAAAAGGAGAAATCTCAGGTCCATTACTTCTCAATTCAGAGCTTAGACTCCCTGCACCATTTGCCACACTTCATTCTTTTGACAATAGAGACAATATAACATCAACATTAAAGAAAACTTTACCAAAGAGGGAAAAAAATTATACACAATCCTCCTAAATTGGAATAGTATTTTTATTTTTATATCCCATCTTTCCATGTTGTCGATATGCATATTCGTTTCACAGGTGCATCACACTACGTAATTTGTATCCTACTGTCATAGCATAAACATCTCCACGTTACCACATACTCCTGTGAATGATTTGAAATGGTAATGTGGTACTGTGTGCTGAGTCAGTACGTCAGTGTTTGTTCAACTGGTTCTCTAGTGTTGAATAGTTAGATGGTGTCTTTCATTTTCATTTTGTAATTTTTCAAAATCATAGACAATACTGAAAGGAACATTTTTATGCACAGAGGGCTTTGTTTCCTGTTCAATTGTGTGTTTTTTTTAATTTATTTTTTTATTTTTTGTATAATTTCCAGGAACCAAAGTATAGGGTTGTGACCATTTTTTATAACTCCTAATATGTATGCCATAATGCTTTGCAAAGATTTCCCTGTTGACACCAACATCAGCAGAGAATTCTTTTACTATAATCTCACAAACACTAGGAGTCATTAGGTTAAAGAGAAAAAATAAACTAATTTAACATTTATATGTATTTATTTAATTACCAGTAGCACTGTTTATTCATTCAATGTGCTGATATATTCTTTCCCTTTGCAGAAATTGCTATTTTATACCTTTGCCCAATTTTCCATTGGACTCCTGATATTTTCTTATAAAATTGAATGAGTTATAGTGAAACAAAAAAATAAACCACCATTGGTTAAGAAATTGAAAAACCCAAGGTGATTGTGTATTAAAAAAGGAAGAAGAAGAGAAACTAAGACAAAAGGTCAGGGGTCTCTGTTAAACATAAATTGCGCCCCACCCTGCTCTGCCCTGCCTGTGCTGCCAGTGCTTTCTCTCCAGCAGCCACAGCCGCCTTGCTTTCCACTTTCCCTCCCTCTTCTTTCTATGCTGTCTTCAGTCTTCACTCCTCCCTCCCTCTGCATATGCAAATTAACCGACATCTTTGTTGTGTTAATTTGCATACTCATTCTGATTGGCTGGTGGGCGTAGCTTATGTAGCAGAGTGATGGTTAATTTGCATATTATTCTAAAATATATATATATATATATATATATATATATATATATATATGTATGTATATATATAAATAATCTGGATGAAACATAAGACAGAATTGGGCTACTGTTATTAAAAAAAATACACCTGCAGAATAATGTTGGATGGTATTAAGAGGAGGATGACATTCTTCTCCCTGGATAGTCTTCCTCCCCAGCCATCCAGACCCCATCATCTTTCACGGCCCACTCACAAATTCATCCTTAGTCCCCACAGCTGGAATTAATTTCACTTCCTTTGAACACCCACAGCACTTCACACTTGATCTGCAGCTATTTAGGTAGTTGTCTCATTTCCTTAAGGATTGCAAGCTCCTTGAGGACAGGGACCATGACTAATTCATTTTTGTATCCCTCAACATCACACCCATAAATCTCCAATGAATGAACTGGAACATGATTCTTCCACTACGTTAGGAAACTGAGTCTATGTTCGGTTCATAATCTCAGAGATAAACAAAATAATTAGAAGAGGTTCAGAATAGAATAATGAAACAAAATGATGAAAGAGTGTGAGAAACAGAACTTATATTTGGGAGGGAGGTGGGCAGAGAGGAAGGTCAAAGAAAGTCAGCCTAGAGAAGTAAGTTTGGAAAGTGATAGCAAGGGATCTTCAAACATATTAAAGAAATAGTATTAAAAGGAGGCCCGAAGTTTGCTTATTGGAGAAAAACAAAGAAATTACTCAGGTTTTCATGAGCAATATGAGTAAGCCTGCTGAATCTGACCAGAGCTTAGCTATAGTGCGGTGTGATGAAGGGCTGAGGTGTGCCATACCTTATCCTATTCCCTACAAGAATGAAAGTGTGACAATAAGGACTCTGGTAAACTGTTTTTGCAAAATTACTTGTAAAACAATTGCAAAGTTTTTAAATTTTAGCGTGCCTAGCCACACTCCCCTACCCCCCCTACCCCCCCCCCCACCCCCCACCGCCAAGATACTGAAACCTGCTTAAAGGAGAAGGGGGAGTTAGCCCAGGAAAGAATAGTAGAGACTCCTGCCTGGGATTTGGAAAGCAAAATGGGTCCAATCCACACAGAGAGAGACAGCCTTTGATGTCCTGGCGATCAAGGACCAGGGCTTAAGGACCAGACTCCTAAATCACGAGGCATTTACTGCCCTGGATGAAAAAAAAGAAAATACTTTTGTGCATCAGTGTCTGTGATTCAACATGGCATGTTTCCAAATTCAGTCTTAACCCTCAGAGGGTCAGGTTTGGAGCACTCCTGGCAGGAGCAGTGCGGAGCCCGTTGCTGGATGGGGCAGCTTAATGGTTTTCTGCTCTCCCCACCCCAAAACCATTAGAGTGTTCCTTTCCCAGAGCCCAAGTTCAAGCCGAGGGCAAAGGGAATTAAATGAAGAAGCTGAAACTGCAGCTAAGACCGGGGAGTTGCCAAGGACCTAATTTTAGGTCCCGGCTGCCCCAGCTGACGCCCTGCTCTGCTGGCTGGGCCCGGAGGATCGCAGCGTGGTCAGAGGGAGAGGGCGTCTGCCTCGCCATCTGCAAAAGCCATCAGTGCGTTGTGGGTGTGTTTGGAGAGACTCCCATAATTTCTCCTCTGACAAATGTTTCTTCAGGTGTTCGAGAGTCACTAGGGGGAAGCGTCGGCGCTGGGCAGAAGTTCCCACATGCTTGCCCTTCTGACGGTCACGCTTCTCCACCTCGGAGTGCTCCCCAAAAGGGAATGGATCCCGGAATCCCTGGTGTTTTGTGGCAAGCAGCCCCCTGCCTTCCTCTGGCCATCGCTCCCTGCCACAGCCCCCGTGCTACCTAGCACGTCCCAGGCTCTGTGACCTGGACCTGGAGGGGTGGGGCTGTGCTTGCACTAGAGCACATGTGTCAAACACAAGGCCCGCGGGCCAAATCCGTCCCGCCAGGCCTTGCAATGTGGCCCGCACCGCGCTGTCATCACTGCACTCCGCTGCGTTTCCATCACAATGACAGTTTATGACTGTTCAGTAAACCATTCGGCCCGCGATTTAGGCTGGATTTTAGATTTTGGCTCCTTCTCTGATTGAGTTCGACACCCCTACAGAGGGAGGGTTTCTAGGTCTCCCTCTGGCCTTCAGGCGGTCCTGCCTCTCTTCACCTACCTCCCAGCCGCAGGTTTCATGCGGAGGGCAGACCGTGGGAGCCGGCGTCTCCCAGATCAAAGGGGAAACCACAGATGTTAAAGCGACGCCTTTGCTGTCCTGCGCCCGGAATAATAAAGGGATAGACATAGAAGCCCCCAAATCACTCTCCTCTCCGAACTGTCACCAGAGAGCAGCAGTGCTGGCAGAGTAATGGCCAGGAAACTCTCTTGACAAACCACTCCCAAGAGCATGTCTTTCCTTCGCACAATTCTCATGCCAGGGGGCCCCCCACCAGGGACGGGAATACCAAGTCTGCGTCCCTACAAGTTGGGAACTAAGATCACTGGCGGGTGCTCCCTATCCGAAAAGGAGACTGTTCTTTATACATTTTTTAAGAATTTATTTTTGTTGACTTCAGAGAGAAAAGGAGAGGGAGAGAGAGAAAAACATCAGTGATGAGAAAGAAGCATTGATCGGCTGCCTCCTGCACTGGGGATGGAGCCCACACCCTGGGCATGTGCCCTGGCTGGGAATCGAATGGTGACCTCCTGGTTCAGTAGGTCGACGCTCAACCTCTGAGCCACGCCGCCTAGGTGAGACTCTTAATAAAGGCTCCCGGCGATGGGCAATGAAAAAGCAGGCTGGCGCTGCAGGCCGAGGGAGAGCATCCCTCAGGGGCTGCGCCCTGGGTGAGGCCCACTGTGGTCCAGGGGCACACCCTCGCCCCAGGACTTCTCTCTCTTCCTTCCGATCTTCCTGGTCGGTTCGCTTTCCCGGTCTCCGTGTCCCAAGTCCCCCGTGTCGGTCTGTCTCTACACCTGCTTCTGCAGCCCTCCCGCGTGCACACGTACACACATACACGCACACAGCGCCCCTCCCGCCCCCCTCCCGTCGCTCGGCGCTGGCCCTTTCATCCTCTCCCTCGGGGATTTGAGATGTCGCTGCAGGAAGTGCTTGTCGGCCTAGGCAGCAGCAGCAGGGCCCTGTGGCTTTGACAAACCTCATTTAATTGGGAGGAAGCCAGGAGAATTTGAAAGAACTGAAACATCCACGAGGCTCCTTTTATCAGGCATAATTTAAACTCGGCATGGAAAAACCCCTGTATGTATAAAGAAAAGTCAACTTCCCCCCTGCTGCGCGCGCTCCCCGTCTCCCCCCAGCACGGCCGCCTCCTGCAAGATCCCATCTTTTCATTTCTCTAAAAGTGTCAGAGCAGATTTGGGCCCTGTGGCTGGGCGAACAGCGAAGGAATACAGATTGGCTTCTCGGTTACACCCGCAAGCGTGAAAACACTCCCTCCCACCCCCGCCCCCGCCCCCGCCCCTCCCCACTAGGAGCCCCTCTGCCGGTGGTGGCTTTGCTTCAGCCGGCCAGGGCAATCAAAACCCACGTTCCTCACAACACATCCGCGAGGACGGTGCTGCTCCTTCCTAATGACCCTTCATCGGGCAGAAGCTGCGCCCAGCAAACGGGGAAGATCCCAGCTGCTCTGTGTGTGTAGCATCACAGATCCTGGAGGAGGACCACTGGGAGAAGTTTTTTCAAGTGGCGAGAGGGGAGTGTGTGTGTGCGTGCGTGCGTGCGTGTGTGTGTGTGTGTGTGTGTGGACACCCAAGCGTGTAGGCTTGCCTGACGTGGTAGCTAGAAGTCCTCAGGCCCAGAGGAGAAAGCTAAGAAGGAGAGACAGAGGGGCTCAGAGCGGGGAGAGGGGAGGGGATGGGGATGTAGTGGGGGGAGGAGGGGAGGGGCCAGGAGGGTACCAGTGAGACTTCCAGGTCGCCAGGAGTGCGTTTGACTCAGCCACAGGCCAGACCTGGTCCCTTCCCTCCTTTCGCATTCCACTCCAGGCCCACCTCCAGTCTCATCCATCTCACTGGAGCTATTCTAGTTCCTCCCAAGACTTGCCTGGAGCGCACACACATTCCCCGAACATCTGCAGCTGATTACGCCGGCTGGGGCTGCTTAGATATGATTTGTGCTAATATGTGCGAGGGGGTGCCCTGCTTCCTCCTGCTCACCCTCTCTCCCTCCCACTCTAGGATCCTGGAGGCCAAGGACAGCCTGCCTCCCCCCCACCCAACTTCCCCCCCCACACACACACTCGGTTTTTATAGCACTTACTATGTTCCTAACACTTAATGGCAACTTAATAACCACCGACGACGGACTCTTCTCACAGGGTCAAGTAAGGCACATTAACCCCAGCTCGTGGTGACGGTTATTTTTGGAGGTCCTCAGTGACTCACTTAAATAAGAAACCACCTTGAGAAATCCCAAACGAGAGCGCTGGGCTGCGGCAGGATAGAGTCCAGGATGCCTTGGGGCTGCGTTTGCAACCCTGGAGGCTCTGGCCAGACCAGATGTCTAAGGACCTTGGTCAGAAGCTCCTCACCCCATCCCGGTACCTCCTCCCCAGGCTGAGCCCCCAGAACCCCCTTCTTAGCTTCTCTCCAGCGTAGAACTCCTAAAAACTGCTTAGAGTTGAATGATGGGTGTTTTCACCGAAGGCTAGTTCCCCCCCAAACAGCCGGGGGCGTGACCACCCTGCCCACATCCTCGGTGCAGCCCTTCCTGGCCACAGCGGAGAAACACGAGGAGCTCCGGCCACAGGATCCCTCCGCAGATGGCAGATTTGGAGGATGACTTCAGGCCCAGGCCGCTGAGCTGATTTCAGGGGAACGTGTGTTTCCCCGCGGGCCTCCGGCCTGGGCGGACGCCCCCCTCCCGGGGAGCCTCACCCCGGTACTTCCCTTGGCAGCATCAGGTTACCCATCAGGACCCGCTCAGCTCTCCTCGCTGACATATCCGTGTCACCTCTCATCTTACTCTCCGTGGAGAGCCGCGGCGTTGTTAGCAACGCCGGTTCTGCTGCTCCCGGCAGATGCCAGCGAAAGCCAGCCACTCCAAGGCCACTTTCATCTCGCCCCGCGCCGCGGAGTGAGTGTGTGCGGGGAAATGTTTGGATCGTTACAGGGAGGTCTGTGTCACCTCCGCCCTCCCTTGCCTTTGAGCTTGAGAGAATCTCATGCAACACTCAGGCGAGATGGGTCCCATCTTGCTTCTCCAGGGCTAATTGATCTCCGAGCTCACTTCTGGCTGCGAAGTCTGTGATTCTCCAGGGCTCAGAGGAAGTACTTCGCACGGAGACAGGCATGTGTGTATACACACACACACACGCACGCACGCACGCACGCACACACGCACACTCACCATCGGGAAGCTGGTGCAGCTGAGACGGCAGGGAGCTGAAATAATTATGGACCAGGGCCTCCTGCGCAGAGACGCGGTCTCTCGGGAAGCCTTTGAGCATTTGCGAGGCCAGGTCTTCGGCTTCCGGAATTCTGCCCAACCTGGAAAAGCGGGAGAGAGAATGTGAGGTTCTCCGGAGAGCTCCCTTCCAAAGAAATAAACGGGGAGAGGAGAGCAGCAGAGAACAGGGTGTGTCAAACAGAATTTTCCTGGGGTTAGGCAAGTTGGTGGCACGCGGAAAAATCACGCCCACACGGAAACTCTCACCTGTCCTGTTACTAAGAGGAAGGGAAATCTGTGTTCTATCATTCCCCCACCTTCCCCGCCAGTGTCTCCAGCACCATCTATAGTATAAACACCCAGTGGCCCTAACGATATAACGACCAAACATACGGTCACCAGGAGGCACCCTGGGGTCTGGGATGGGCATGGGCCTCCAGTGTATACGTAAAAGACCCAGAATTATAATTATAGAAGCAGAAATATGTAATTAAGGACTCTTCTTTGAGAGACACAGCAGGCCGCACAGCCCGATTGGAAATATGCGCCCTGGGCAGCAAGCACAGACTCCTGCCAGGGGAGGAGGGAGAGAGGCAATTTTGGAGGCTAAAGCTCGGATGGAAAACACCCTTAGGTACAGTGTTTCTGAAGCTCAGCTCTCAGGGTTCTGAGGTAAGATGCTTCTTGGTTTTCCCTGAGCTGGAGCCTAGGAAGAGACATAAGTAAGTACCCAAATTACACTAAGGACAGATCCTGAACTGGGCCTGATGCTGAATTGTGAATCTGGAGAGAAGTTAATCCATTAGTTGAGCAGCTACTATGTGCTGTAGGTGCTTGGCTCTGAGAGATACAGGCAAGAGTCTGCCCCTTAGTCTAGCAGAGGAGTCAGACACCAGAGAAATTATCATACAAACGCATGAGTACAACTATGAAGGGGAAGGCCCCGATACCTCACTGAGAGTGGGAGAAGCTGGTCAGGGAAGGCTTCCCTGAGGAAGCGGCATTTGAGCTGAGAGCTGAGGAACTCAGGGAGGCGATGGAGGCAGAGATCTGTGGTACTCATACGGATAGATCCTAGGGTTGAGGGAGAGGAGTGAGTTTAAGGGGAGAAAGGCCTGTTGAGTGGCCTGGACAAAGCATGGGGAAAGACCCCCTAGCTGATTTGGCTCAGTGGATAGTGTGCTGGCCTTTGGATTAAAAGGTCCCAGGTTCAATTCCAGTCAAGGGCATGTACCTTGGTTGCAGGCACATCCCCAGTAGGGGGTGTGCAGGAGGCAGCTGATGGATGTTTCTCTCTCATTGATGTTTCTAGCTCTCTATCCCTCTCCTTCCTCTCTGTAAAAAATCAAATCCTCCAGGCCTGTGGGTCTTTATGCTTCCCACTTACTTGTAATGTTTGAGAGTCTTTGCTAATCAAGTGCCAGTCATTGAAGTACACCCATCTTCCAGAGCCCACTGAAGGGTTTGCAAGTGGAAAGCCACAAAAGCAGGTCCCGGGAGGCACTGAACCACAGGGCTGGTGTGTGACATTCAGAACTAAATTGCGTGGCCATGCAAATTGCCAACCAAGCCAACACAAGAGGGGCTTATTTAACGTCAACTCGACGTACCAGCCTGAAGCACAGAGAGCAGACACCCTTCCAGGATGCAGGGCTGCTGGGAGTCCTGGCCCAGAATCCTAATTTGCCTAATTTTTGCATAAGATTTACATGATACACTTTCAGGTGTCTCATTCCCATGACATGAAACTATTTCTACAAACAGGTAACTTGACCTTCACACTCAAGAGTAATGGCTTTGAGACTTAAAGAAAACACTTGCAAATCCTTGGTCCTTGCAAATTTCCAAGCCAGTTAGGAGACAAGGGTACCTGGGGCAGAGGCCTGCCCGGTAGCTAGTGGGTACGGGCGCCCTGTCCAGGATTGGGTTTTCAGGACTGATGCAATGGGGTTGGAGTGGGAAAGCTGGTACGCATCACTGGGCCTGATCTCTCTCCAGAAGGAGATTCAGGGAAAACCTTGTGCGGAAACTGTTTTAGGTTCACCCTTGCTATAGAGTGGAAGGATGAGTGCCAAACTTGGGGCCTGAACCCACACTGTGAATTCCTAGGTGGTCATAGTGAGGAGGGAGCCATGCATCTATCCTCACCCACCTCCACCCCCCACCCCGATCAGTGCTTTGTTCGCTTGGCACAGTCCCACCGGTTAGATTGTTACAAGCAGAGGAAGGCTGCAGGACTGTGGTGGACTGGTGTCAGCATGGAGTGCACGCTGTTTTATCTAGCCCAGTGGTTGGCAGACTCACTAGTCAACAGAGACACATATCAACAGCACAACGATTGAAATTTATTTTGAGAGCCAAATTTTTTAAACTTAAAACTTCTTCTAATGCCACTTCTTCAAAATAGACTTGCCCAGGCCATGGTATTTTGTGGAAGAGCCACACTCAAGGGGCCAAAGAGCCGTCTGTGGCTCGCGAGCCGCAGTTTGCCGACCACTGATTTAGGCTGTTTATGCTGATGGCTGGGGGAAGCCAGGACAAGCTGATGGAGCTCAGGGGATGGCAGGGACACACAGGAAGAACCAGCCACCCTGACCAGAAAATTTAAAGACAGGAGAGTAGGTCCTGATGGATGATGACATGAGGACTTCTGTGTTAGGACTTTCCTCCTCAACCAGCCAACCTGCCCCGCACCCTTCCCATGAGGTTGTACCAGGGCCTCTGGTGGTGTCAGGATTGGCCTCAGTCTCACGGCCTCCAAACTATGACGGCCACCACCCACTCCTTCTGCCTCTTGGCTGGCAGGGGCGGCGACCAGGGCAAAGTGTACCAGTGAAGGCTCCTCCTCCTGTGAGCCAGTCCCCTGTGGGTCTGCCCTGTGGAAGCCCAGGGCAGTGTTCAATTACCTATCTCTAGATAGGAATGGGGGCCTGTCCACTGGCCAGAGAACGTCCACACATTTTGAAAGAAATGATAAACAGCAGCTCCCTGGAGCCTGCCTTCAAAACAACAGGGACTTTCAGGTGGTACGGTGCTTTTAAAAATAAGTGTGGGGGCTGAAACCGCGTTGGCTCAGTGGATAGAGCATCGGCCTGCGGACTGAAGGGTCCCGGGTTCGATTCCTGTCAAGGGCATGTACCTTGGTTGTGGGCACATTCCCAGTAGGGGGTGTGCAAGAGGCTGCTGGTTCTCTCTCATCAATTTTTCTAACTCTCTATCCCTCTCTCTACTTCTCTGTAAAAAAATCAATAAAATATTTTTTTAAAAATCATGTAAAAAAAAGAAAATAAGTGTGGGGTGTGCGGACATCCTTGTGTGTGTGTGAGGGGGTTTGGAGGGGGGGGGTAGTGCAGGGGCGGGGTGGTGGCTCCCAATAAGAGATCCTTGGCTCATTCATGGCTCTACCTCCCAACCTTCTCTACTCTCTGCACTCTGGTAGGCACGCCACATGGAGGATTTCTGAAGCATATGAACACTGACTGTACTGTGTCTGGGGAAATCAAACGGAATTTGGTTGGGTTCAACGCAGCCACATTTTCAGGGAAGAGCGACGTGGAATGTTCAGTTGGGATCTCGCCCACCCCCCCTTCACCCCTCCCCACCTGCGAGAGTGTGTTTTTCTTTGACATTTGAGCCCGTTCCCCTGTCTCTGATGTTTCCCTCACTGCCCTTTTTGCCTCTTCACTGAAGCAAAAAGAACAGAGCCTCGGCTAATTACTCTCAGATCAAATAATACTGGTTATTGTAATTGGTCATTGTCCGAAAACACTGGGTTCTTCTTAGCCCGGAGGTTGCCTGGCGCGGCTTAGTTAGCTAACTATTCCGGGAATGCCGCTATTATCTGTTTTACTTTGCAAAAGAAACTAGGGATTTGTTGAAAGCTGGTAATAAAAGTCGGCCCCGGTCTGCGCCGAGACTGGGTGGAGAGGGCCTGGGAAAGCATGACCCCCATGAATCAAGCTGCCCCCCCTCCAATAGCCGCTCAATGATGTTATTTGGTTTCTCTGTGTCGGGGAATAATAAACCCGCTAGGTTTTCTTGCAGGCCAACGCTCCCTGTTCTCAGGGCCTCGGGCGTGGTGGAGGGGCCCAGAACAATTTTAATGGCCAGATGCAGTGAAAGTAAAATGGTTCATAGAGAAAAACCAGCAGGCTCCCAGGTGTCTGGCCGGCTCTCCCCGAGGCCTCTTCTTGGGGTGTGGGTCCCCAGATCGAGGTGCTCGGTGGATTGAGGTTGGGAAAAGGCTCCTTCAAACCCTGCTTCCCAAGGTGGTGCTCACCTGTTCCAGACGTTCTGCAGGCTCTGAGGTTTCAGCAGTGGGAACCATTCTGAAAGGCACACACAGGCACGTTACAAAGAAAATGACCCTAAACTCCTGCTTCCAAAAATATTAAAACCCGGAATGTTCTCCTTGGCTTGGAGGAAGAGGGAATCCAGGTTCAGGTAGACAAAGTAAAGGATGTTCTCACTATGGATATTTTATGATTCTGTGTCACTATCAAATCTCTGTTTCCCACTCCCCCCAAATCCATATGTTGAAGTCCTAACCCCAGGCACCTCGGGATTTTACCTTATATGGAAATAGGATTGTTACAGATATAATTAATTAAGATGAAATCATTAGGGCGGGCCTTAATCCAATGTGATTGGAGCCTGGCCAGTGTGGCTCATGGGTTGAACATCGACCCAGGAACCAAGAAGTCACCGGTTCCATTCCAATCAGGACACCTGCCCGATTTGCGGGCTCCATCCCCAGTAGGGGGCGTGCAAGAGGCAGCCTACCTATGATGTTCCTCTCTCATTGTTGTTTCTATCCCTCTCCCTTCCTCTTGCTCTAAAAATCAATAAACACAGTTTTTAAAAAGGGGGACAGAGACAGACATGTACAAGGGAAGGCAATCTGAAGAGACACACGGAGAAGCCAGGCATCTGCAGGAGAGGCCTGCAGCAGACCCTCCCTCAGTGCCCGCAGGAGGAACCCATCCTGCCCACACCTTACTCTCAGCTCTGCCTCCAGAACTGTGAGGTAACACATTCCTGGGGTGTACGCCATCCGGTTTGTGGGATTTTGTTATGGCAGCCCTAGCAAACTGATTATAGTTTGTAAAGCCAACAAACACTGATTTAGCATTTACTGTGTGCGGAGAGCACAAAGGAATCGGCCACCCTCTCAGAGCTTATCGTTCATCTGAGAGAACAAAGTTTGCTCCCCTGAAAAGTCATGTGACCGATGATGACGGGGCAAAGTCTCAAAAGAGATCAAAAGTAACGGGGCTAATTTTCTATATTACTTGCAGGAAAAACGGAAGTGGATCCTGGCTTGAATGATCCAAAATGGGTGACCATAAAACGTGTAATCTTCTTTGGAGCATTCTTTATAACATTTATGTGTGTCTACATGTGTTCCAATTATTCTTGGTATTGACACTATTTAGCCCCAAACCAATCCACCATAAAAGGGAAATTCCTCCCGGAAATGCTCATTGAATGCTTCCTCTATGGAAGGGCCGTGAAAGGAGCTGTAGGGGATATGAGCCGATGCTCCTATCAAATCTCTGTTTCCCACTCCAGTGAGAAAAGAGTATTTCAACTCCCATTTAAAATGATGTGTTCGCCTTGTACTTTTCTTGGGCCGGAAATGTAATTATTTTTAAAAGATCTCTTCTTCCAGCTCCCGCCGGAATGGAAAACACCAAGACTGTTTACCCAACAAAGAACTGGACCGATTTTGCTAATGCTGACAAATCTGCTGGCATGTGCACAGCAAATAACCTGGGAGACTGCTCACCAGTGATGATGGTTACACACAGGCTTCCCTTCTATGTTAACTTTCTTAAGTTTATTATTTTAATAAAAATCACATATTTTTTTGAAACTTCAAAAGTAATTACTTTAAAAAAAAATATGTTTTTATTGACTTCAGGAAGGGAGAGGGAGAGAGAGAAACATCAATGATCGGCTGTTGGGGATTGAGCCTGCAACCCCAGGCACGTGCCCTGATAGGGAATCAAACTGTGACTTCTTGGTTCATAAGTCGAAACTCAACTACTGAGCCACGCCAGTTGGGCTTCAAATGTAATTTCAATTAAAAATGAAATGTATAGCCCTATCAGGTTTGGCTCAGTGGCTAGAGCGTCAGTCTGCAGACTGAAGAAGGGTCCCAAGTTTGATTCCGGTCAAGGGCACATGCCCAGGTTGCAGGCTCAATCCCTGGGGATCAAGCAGGAGGCAGCCAATCAATGATTCTCTCTCATCACCAATGTTTTTATCTCTCCCTCTCCCTTCGCTCTGAAATCAATAAAAATATTTTCTTTTTAAAAAGAAATGTATCTTGCTAAACATTGTAGAGGTAAAGGAGTAGTTAAAGAAAGCAACTGAAGTCAAGTTTTCTTTTCTTTTCTTTTTTTTTCTTTTTTTTAATATATATTTTATTGATTTTGTACAGAGAGGAAGAGAGAGAGACAGAGAGTTAGAAACATCGATGAGAGAGTCATCGATCAGCTGCCTCTTGCACACCCCCCACTGGGGATATGCCCGCAACCAAGGTACATGCCCTTGACCGGAATCGAACCCGGGACCCTTCAGTCCCCAAGCCGACGCTTTATCCATTGAGCCAAACCGGTCTCGGCAAGTTTTCTTTTCTTTTAAAAAAAATATATTTTATTGGTTTTTTACCGAGAGGAAGAGAGAGGGACAGAGAGTTAGAAACATTGATGAGAGAGTATCATCGATCAGTTGCCTCTTGCACGCCCCCTACTGGGGATGTGCCCGCAACCAAGGTACTTGCCCCTGACCGGAATCGAACCTGGGACCTTTCAGTCCGCAGGCCAATGCTCTATCCACTGAGCCAAACCGGTTTCAGCTGAAGTCAAGTTTTCAAGGTCAGATGCAATCAAATGTGACCACTCTGCTGGCGTTTTACAGCCCCAGGTAGGCTCTAAGGGAAGCCCTTGCACCTACACGTTATTTACTCTCCGGTCGGATGATTGTGCCTAAATTCAAATAACCAGCGAAGATAAGAATATCTGGCATTTGTTTCGAATGTTTATTTCCAAATCACTTTCTGCTGGCTATTTGCAGTCCTTCCCTGACCAAACAAAATTAAAATATTTCCTCCTTCGTAATGAAATCCGTTTCAATCCTCTCCCACGGTCTGTTTTTTCCATACCCAGAGCCCTACGTGCCGTGTTTTTGACCCTTTGTATTTTAATACGACTTCCAACTTTGGTGTTGTTCTTGAGGAACATGGGTTTGGGATAAACTGAATGAGGGTTTGAACACTGACTGAACCTAGGGTATGAAACTGCTGCTTCCGTTTCACTGAGACCTTGAGGTACTTGCATCGTGGCCAGCCTGCTTCCTGGACTCGAGTTGTAGGTCATAGTCTTCCACAAGCACAAAGTGATTCCCAGAATGCGTTGATTCGTTGAGATAATGAATGTAAAGTGCCTACCTCAGAGCATCAAACAAAATAAATCCTGTTTGCTGCTCTTCTTCCCACTCTTCCTTTGAAAAGTGATGGCGAGTGAACTGTGTGTGGTTAGTACCCTGGACCTGGGTTTGGAGTCCACACTGTGCCCCTTACCAGCTGTATAACCTGTGGGTGTTGCTTAACTTCTCTGGGCCTCGGCTTTCCCATCTGGGGTAAGGACAGTTCCTACTGCACAGGGTTGCTGTGAGAATGTAATGTAAGTGATTCCTCATGCTTTGCCCCTGCTCTTTCTTTTGTCTGATGCACCTCGCTTTCCTCTCTCCTCTCAGGTGTTTCCACCTTGTTGTTCTCCCTAGAAACCCTCTATACCTTGCAATTGCACTCTACTAAAATTTTACTGTGCTCCAAGCTTAAATTCTTATAAGCCTGATTTGATTTCTCTTGAGTCCTCCGTGTGGGCCGGAGGCATGTTTCTTAGCGATGTGGTATAGTACCATGAACACAGCTCGGACTAAAATCACCTTTCTGCCATCTATAAACTTGGTAATTGGGGGTAAATTTCTTAGTCTCTGTGGTTAAGTAACTCCAAAGTTTTCAAATCTGTAAAATGGGGATAATGTTCCGCGTCAGATGGGAGAATTAGATAAGATTACACACTGGATGTGTCGTAGAGGCTCAGTAAATGTTAGTCTTTATGCATGTTCCTTTTTTCTCCTTGCTTTTACTTGTTTTGGAGAGCTAGCACGGGCTCACCAAGTGGTTCTCAGGCCAAGCTGCCTGTCGGCATCCATCCTTTAGGAGAGTTTTGAAGCCCTGGCTCCACACCCCAGAGTCTGATTCCCCAAGCCCGGGCGGGCCCAGCCTCGGCCCATTGTTGTGTTGTTGTTATTGTCTTTAATGGGCTCCAGATGTTTCCAGTGTGGCACTAAGTGAGGCCAAGGAGGCCGGTCTGGCAAGGAGGCCAGGGCTGACCATTCACCAGCGACTCCCACACACTTCTCTGAGCTTCTTGGGAAAATTCACTTAAGCAGTGGATATAAAAATTGCAGAACATAGTGTCTGACACATAAAATACGTTTTTCAAGGGTGGGAAAAAGGAAGCCTGATAAGGCAAAAGTCAGTTTCCATAAATTTCCCCCTGAAAGGATGATCTGTAAGAGCTGCATTGGGAGGCAATGCAATAACATTGAACTTGAGGTTCCATGTCTTGCATAGGTGGTTCCTGACCCTCTTCCCACATCTATTTTGTAGCTTCATCAGCTAAGATGGAGGGATCCATGTGTCCAGAGTAGGCCAGGTTGCTGTAATGAAGCTGAGCCAAAGCCCAGTGCTGGTTCCTAGCCTTCCTTCTTCTCATTCTTATGCAGTGACCTAATGTTGAATGACCTTGCTTCTCTCTTATTGATTCCCTCCCCTCCCCAGTAGTTAAGCTGCAAGTGATCAATGAGAGAATGATCTACAAACAGATAGGCATTGTACACACCACCATTCCAAGAACAGTCTTCTTACTCTGGCTTCAGTTGCCTCTAAAAATCATAGGTCTCTAGGCAGTGTATTTCCCTTCTCCTACCAAAGATGATAGTAAATCATCAGAGCAGATTTTTCTACATTTCCTCCTTCTGCAGTTCTCTTTTTAAGAGTTCTCATTGGAGTTCAATGGGCATTCGAGGTAGGAAAAGCAAAGTTAGCTGCAAAAGGAAACTTAAAAAGCTGAACTTTAAGTTTCCCAACTAAATAGAGTAAAATTAAAATGATGGCGGAATTGTTGCTATCATAGTCAGATAATGATTCCCCCCGCACCCCCCATAAAGTTTTACAAAAGCTCTTTTCAAGAACAGTGACCTTAGTCAACAGAGGTTTGTTGGTTGATTGATAAAGTATCACCAGGATCATTTT